ATATATATATATATATATAAGAATTATTATTTATCCCCTCTTATATAATAAAAGAGGGGATAGTGTCTCCTTTTATGTATATAAAAGGAGACACTTCCTTCCTCCTATATTGGAGTGTACAGGCACCTCCGTTTTCTTGCTGCATCTGCTGCAGCAGCAGCAGCAGCAGCAGCAGCAAGAATATCTTTATGTATACACAAGAACTTTATTATTATATATATAGTTATATGTTTATATACATAATAAATATATATTATTTATTTATATCTATACAGTAATAAGAAGAGGAGACACTAATAAGGAAAGGAGACAGTAGTAAGGAAGGAGGAGACAGTAGTAAGAAAAGGAGACAGTTATACAATATATATTAAGGTGTATGCCCCCTAGGGTCTAATAAACAGGAAAGGAGACAGTTGTCTCCTTTTATTGTTATAGGGAGGGAAAGGAGACAGTTGTCTCCTTTTATTGTTATAAGGAGACAGCTAAATAAATATAATTAATAAATATAATTAATAAATAATATTAATTATATTTATATTTATATATAATAATTATTATTAATAATAATTATTATTAATAATAATAATAATTATTATTATATATTATTATAATAATAAAAGGAGACACTAAGGAGACTACTACCTATATATATATTATATATTATATAATAAATAAAAAGGGGACAGTAAGGAGACTGTGCCTATATATATTATATTATATAATAAATAAAAAGGAGACAGTAAGGAGACTGTTTGTATAATAAATAATATATAAAAAAGGAGACACTTAATAAACTATTTTTATTTATTTATATAAATAGGCCCTTTTTTTTATATATATAAATATATATAGGGGACAGGGTATATATATAAAAGGAGACACCTGTCTCCTTTATTATAATTTATTTATTTATTATTTTTTTTTATAAGAAAAATTATTTATTAATAAAAAAAATAACAAGAAGACAAGAGGTATATATATATAAAAAAAGACTTTTTTTTTTATTATATAATTAATAATAATAAAAAGAATAAAAAAAAAAAAGGAATAAATAAAAGGAATAAAAAAGAATAAAAAAGAATAAAAAAAGAATAAAAAATACTTTTTTTTATTTATTTTTATTAAAAAAAATAAATAATGGTGTTGGGGTGTATGCACAGGGGGGCCCCACGAATTATATAGTTGGGGTGTATAGGCAGCTCCCTCCCTCCCTCCATTTCTTCTTGTCTTCTTTATATATAGACTATATATATATATAAAAGGAGGAGGAAGGGGGAAGGAATAAAAAAAATATATTTATTTATTAATAAAATAAATAAAAAAAAAAAGAAAAAAATAAATAAAATAATTAATTAATTATGTC